TTTTGATTTGTTGCTTAGCATCTGTGTTGATTAAAAACACCACTCTCTGCTCCTACTTATGTGATACCCCCGGATATCCCACAATTGAGACAACTCCTCCTACAGGATGGATTGTGCAACATTCCTATACATGAGTTACAAAGCTGATTGTGCAGAAACTTTTTTATGCACCTGCACTTACGTGTATGTCAAAATGTCTCAAATGCGAGCTCTGGATCCAGCTTAGTTTAGGCTGGAACGAACGTGCATAATGCATGCTTGCAGTATTCTTCAAGGCAACGACTATTACTGGGTCATGGCTGAGCAATGCAGGTGTGTGGTAGGAAAATTCCCCACAAACTGATGCTGGAAATTAGGTCTTAAAAAACTAAACACACTTAAGCTGCAAGAACATTGGAAAGTAGGTCTTCAATTTTCTTGTATTCTTTTTTGAATTATTTGCCCCGTACCTTCAGCATTTAGAAATTAGAAATTTCAGGAGATCTATAAGTGTATGCTCTTAAACGTGTCTGCCGCGGTTACAACTAAGCTTTCTTTCAACATTCTGTGTATCAAAGACATTCTTTATATTACTACTATTTTCATTGGGATTATTGCACCAGGTTCTATGCATGTTACATATTACAATATGACCAGCTCAATATCCGGAGGTACTTCACCTTCACGATGGAGCTTAGCAAGATTTCTTGCAGTTTACGCCTCCTTAACGAACACAGGGTCAAAAGGGAAGCTTGTGGGCAATGGAGTCGTGGGATCAAAGATGATTTTCTCGAGTGCAATAGTATTTTCCAAGAAGAACCTAACAAGTTCAACATGAGCTGCACCGCTATAAAACCCCCCACAACTTCACTTTGAGGTGATGCAGTCCACATTTTATGGCAGTCTTCCTACAGTCTCTAACAGTCTGGACAGAACATCCCAATATCAACTGCCACAGACACATACAACAAACAAACATAAGATTATTGTGCACAAAAAAATTGGATATTCAGAAAAAGGGTCTTATTGTTGAAATGGTTGAGATACAACACAGTAGACCAGAACAATTATGGATTGTGTTGTTAAATGCAAAGCGTGGCAGGTTTGAGTTTTGGAATTTTTTTTCCCTCTTTATTTTGCATAAAAACCAACTAGTTTTATTCTTTTTAACAATACTGACCTCCGGAGGTCGGAAATTACCGACTCAATTTAAGATCGGTAATTTTTAGGTCGGTATTCACTGGTTTTTAGTAGATTTTCATACTTCAAGCTTCATAGTCTACTACTGAACCATGAATTTTTCATGGCTTGTCCATGTCCTCCCTAGATATTCCTACTGTAGGCGATACACCTGTGACTAATATTCTCAGTGTCAGTTTCATGGTAGATCGTACAGGGGTCGAGGTGGACAACAACTATGGTAATAACAACTCACCCATGGAACAACCTTGGAATGTAAATAATGACACAAATAGATCTATTATTTGTACGTTAGAATACACTGCTTGATAATCACACACTAAAATAACTCCATTTATTTCATAAAAATAAGTAACACACATTTTTTTTTAAAAAAAGTCACAGAAAATAATTGGTAAGTGAAGGATCTATGAAGAAGCAGGGACGGAGAAGAGTTTGGATTGATTGATGAAATAACTTACAAGTAGATTGTCATCAATTACGGTAACCAAAAGAAATATTGAAAAGGGAGATTCATCGGATAATGTTGAAGCATCCAATATGAATAATAAGTGATACATTTAGTTAAAGATGTGAATTAGAGTTGTTGAGCTGACATTACTTTGTTAGAAGCAGTTACCAACTACATGATGTATAAATAGGGCCCTTAGTGCAGAATGAAAACAGATCATCTTCTTCAATCAATGCAATTTACATTTCTTTTCTCTCTAATCTGAATTGTTAACATTGTATCAGAGCAGGTGCTTTGCACCAAAAACTTCTGAAATTTTTTCCGCAAAATAGCTAGATCCAGATCAGAATCATGATCGAGGAAAGTGGGAATGTTCAGCCACAGGCAACAACAATGATCGATCACAATCATGTTCTATATTTGCAGGCTTCGGTACTCCAGGATCGATTCTAGTTCTGACTCAGTTATCCGGAGCTGAAAATTATGGATTGTGGAGCAGATCGATGAGGATTGCTCTGCTCGGAATAG